CAACAGAAGAGGAAGGAAGCTGGGGACAGGGAGAAAGCGGAGCTCCAAAGAAGCACGGCCCCCTTCTGGAGAGGAAGGGTCAGGTGAATGCCACGCTGAGCCCTGGCTGTCACACAGATGACTGCTTTGTTCTTCCCGGTCCTTACTTTGGACCCAGGATGGTATTCAAAGTGCTGAAACACCCAAGATTCGAACTCGTAACTATCACGACGTGAGGTAGCGACTGCATGCCTGGGCCCCGAGCAAACACTCTAAGCTAGCCTGGCACATGCCTACCTGTGCCCCTTTCCACACCTGGGAGGCCATGGCCTCTACTCCAACTATTCAAACACTGACTATGGTTTGCTTTAGCTTCAACCCCTTTGTGCTATACCCTTTTTTTTTTTTCAGGCACAAAACCTCTCTCAAAAATTTTTTTTTAATTCTTTAGGTACACATTCTCTCATCTCATTTCAAAGAATGGCTTGTCATTCTACTAGAAACAGAGCTAAGTTTAAGAAGAATATAGAATGTTCTAGAACACTTCTACCCTTGAGAAACTCTGATCCTTCTTTCATATGGTGGCAGGGACCTTGTTTATAATAACAAATTCCATAAAAATCTTGATGGTTTAGTCAAAGACGCCTGCTTCCATCATTCCCAGTAAATTATAAAAATTAAATTCATCTGTCCCATGCAGGGTGTCTTCTGACAAATCCCAAAGCTCTGTGAAACTGAGGAGCCATTGGTTAGGATACAGATTCAATTATAGATCAGAGAAAACAAATAACTTGAAATCCATGACAGAAATCTAGGAGCCCTCTGCTACTCTAGGGGACAGTGGGAATGGATGGAAGGTGGAAGTGCTCTCCCTAGGCACAGGTGCCAGTCACCTCGCATAGCATGACGTAAGATGAAAGCATCTGCTGACTCTCAGAGGTATAATTACTAGCAGGGTGGGGGTGTAATTAAAGTAAGGATAATTTACCTTAAAGAAGATAAAAATTAAGAATTATTAATGATCACAATAATTAGCCCTTTATATCTAAGAATCACAAAATGCTTTACAAGCTGTAATTATCACAGCTCCCCTGTGAGGAAGGGATTCATATCTTACAGCTCCTCAATTTACAGGGGGGTGAAGCGATGGACATAGGGGAAGGCCGAGAGGGGTGGAGTACTGCCTCCTCTGTCATCTGCCTCGTAAGTGGCGAAATTAGAAAGAGGCCCCAGCAGGGCTGACTCCCATTAGAGTGAGTACCCTCATCCTCAAGCCATCGCCTAAATGGATGACCCACTCCAGCGTAAGCAACTCATCTCATTCTGCCCGGTTGGCCACTTAGACTGCCACAATGCAATAAAATTACAACATATCAGCAAGGATTTTATTAACACCTAGAAGAAAGAAAAGGTACAGCACCACTTTCAAGTGACATAAAACCTAATTGAGAAGACAAAGTAAGCATCCATTAAATTAGAGAAGAACGCAAAATTATACATCATCTGACATTAACTAGCACTAGGTTTATGACCCTGACTGTGCATGCTGTGGGGACAATTTTAAGGGGAAGATTATGGTGGGTAAAAGTCAAGAAAGGTTTGGGGGAGGAGATGGGATTTGAGTGACTTCAAGTAAACCGTGTTAGGTTTGGGCTGAGATGAGATCCCAAGTAGGCCAATAACTAAGAGAAAACAGTGGGAAGAATTGAAAGAAATGTCACATCATGTCAAAGAAAAAGTCCCTACCAAAGAGGTGTTTAAAGAACTGATAAAAGAATGTCACTTCTTTCAAAGTCATCTAATATCCTATTTTGGACATTTTCCCAGACTATGGATATCATGGTTTATATTTGGTTCTCAAGAAATTCAGGAGGCTAAATATGATCCTGGTCTATATGTTGTTGTTGTTGGGTTTTTTTTTTTTTTTTTTTTTTTTTTGCATATGTGTGTGGTACTGGAGATTGAACCCAGGGCCGTGTGCCTTCGAGGCAAGCCCTCTACCAACTGAGCTATATCCCCAGCCCCAAATATGACCCTGCAACCTTCTTCACTTTATTTACATTTTCACTTTGGAGCCATCTAATCCCAGGCAGAACCTGGTCCTAAAAAAAAATGCCTCATAATGTCAAATCTATTATCTTCCTTTTCTGGGTTCTAAGAGGAGGAAATTGGAAATGAGTCCTTGAATGAAATAAAAATCAGAAGAACAAATGCTTCCTTAATTCTTTGTTTGTTAATCCATCAAAGCCTCACATCCAAAGACCTTGGCACGGAGGGGGCCATGATTATTGTGATGTTAAAGCGTTTGGGTGATCCAAATATTTTTTTCTCTTTTTAATTCTTCTAGTATAAAGAGTCCAAGTCTCAAAGTCAGTTACTAGTATAATTCTGAAGGTATTCTAGACCAGCTGATAAAGAAGGACATTTGCAGAATATCCCTTCCTGGGCCAGTTAATAATGTCCTTTGACCTTAATACTAAGTCTTAGAAAGGAAAAACTTTTTGTCTATAAAAATATAGAGATCTTCAAATTATAAAGATACCATTATTTATTGATGTCTCCACAATGGCTGGACACCAGCACATTTCAAGAATTTCCAGTTGACCTTTAAAAAAAGTAGACCAGGGCTGGGGTTGTGGCTCAGTGGTAGAGCACCTGCTTAGCACCTGTGAGGCCCAGAGTTCGATCCTCAGCACCACGTAAAAATAAATAAATAAAACAAAGATATTGTGTCCATCTACAACTGAAAAAATATTTTTTTAAAAAGTAGACCAAAACAATTTGTAAGGACTTGGAATTTTCCTATAATCTCTGATATTTTACAACCTTTTAAGAAATTAGAAAACAATTTATTTTTTTCCCTGTCCAAACATCATGTGAAGAACTCCTAGTAAAATGATCTTCTTAAATAATGACCCAGTGTAAAATAAAATAACATTACATAGCAATGAAGGCCACTTTATCAGAAGGGTATCAAATCTGATGATAGGATTTATCATTTGAACCTATTTACTAATGGACCAAGATTCAGAAAGGAAGAGAGGTAAATTTTCTGAGGTTTTTGGCAGGTTTTAAAATATAGTTTCTCTTATCCTGTCCTGACTTTAAACAAGAATCTCTAAGAAAGACATTATTGGATTTAAGATCTAGCTTCACTGACAGTGGGGACCTATGCTGAAGTTCCCCCAAAGGTCACGCAGAAGCAGACAAAAATAGAAGCGGATTAAGGCAAGCCTTGGGCAGGTGATCTCTTCAAGGGCTCCCGCCCTCGGGAAGATAAAGGGGCTCTGCCACGTCTCGGTTGCACTGCTCATTATGTACCTAAAACCCAAAGATTAAGGGAACGGTATAAAACCCTAAATAGAAGAACAAAAGGTGTCTTCAAGCCTCACTAAGAACTGTCCCATCAAATTGACTTACTAAGCTATCAAATAGTGACAGTTCTGACAGTTCAAAGAAAACTTCTAAATCACAGACTTCAGTAATGAAGCCCTTAAGGAGGCGGAAGGCAGCCAGGTTTACAGTTGTTTTTCCCGTCTCCTATCACTTCCACCTTCCTCTTCACCCCACATCTGAGAGAGCAGCGTCTAAGGGGGCAAATAAAATTCAACTTCGCTATCATTCAGACCAGGCGTCACGTTAAAAGAATACATAGACATCAAGGTTCTGTATTTTTCACTTGCCACCTGAAGTACCCCTAAGTCTCTTCGAAATTCAGAAAACCAATACTTGCCTCTGTTGAACAAAGGATGAGACAGAAATGCAGAGAAGCCACTGAATCATTTAATAGTCGCCATAAACCTATTATGAACCAAAGTCTCAAGTAGTCTGAAACGTAAGGGTGGGAGTTGTTGACAACCAGGGATAAAGCCTAGTTCCTTACAATAAAACAGCACTAAGATTCACCGATGGTCACCAAGGTTGAGAAAGCCCTGATGGCTATAATGGGCTAGAATGACCGATTAGCTTAATGCGCTTCCAGGAGAAGCAAACTCAAGTGTTTAGATGTCATAATCATTAGTAACTTGGGCTGAGAAGGATGATTATATCTACAATAACGCATTACATTAGCTCTTTTTCTCTGGGGACATCAATATGCTAATAAGCATAAAAATGAACAAACTTAATTTAGAAATATCTCTAAGAATGAAATTTCACACTTTCATATTTGCTTATAACAGTTTAACAAAAACCCATTTTAAGGTACACTCCAAAATTGTCCATTGCAGAGGCAACCCCCAATCTGTAGGGAAACCATTGTCATAAAACCTAAGAAGACAAATGTAAAATGTCTTGCCACTTGCATGCTTTAGAGAAGCAGTTTAACAATTCCTTATGTCTTGGGGCTGGGGTTGTGGCTCAGTGATACAGTGCTCACCTAGAATGCTTGTGGCACTGGGTTCCATCCTCAGCACCACAAAAATGTAAAATAAAAGATACTGTGTCCATCTAAAACTAAAAACTAAATGTTAAACACACACACACACACATACACACACACAACAATTCCTTATCTCTTTCCCATTGTCCGAGAATTGTTTCAGGCAGGGCTTATGAGGATGCCACAGAGAAATTAGTTGGTTCTCACCAATTTATTTCAAAGATTCTGTTTAATTCTAACCTAGAACTTAAATCTTTTATAAAGTAAATGGCTCAGAGTTTGCTCCTTTGTAATGAAGTCATAATCAATAAAGATTTGGAACATTTAATACCTTTGTTTTATTGTTTAATTTAGTTTTAACAATTAGAGAGAACTAGAAATTCAGCCAAATATTCTACCTTTCATGTTAGGTGGGGCCGATACCCTAGCATGTCAGGAGGCAAGGTCTGTGAACCTCGTGCCAAATAGCTACATGAGCAAATAGCGAGATAAACAAGCCATTGGCAGAGACAAAGGTGGAGCTAGGCTTGGGATGAATCAGGCCAGCCCACAGAGTGGGTGTCTCCTTCCCAAGTTGCTCTCCAGGGCACAATTCAAACCCCTATAAAAGGCCCAGCTCCCAGTTACCCAGTACACTTGCCAGCAGTGTCAGCGAGCACTCAACGTCCTCCTCTGGTAAAGTGGTAAGTCCCATTCTGTGGGATCGTGTTCTTCTGTGTCCTTCTTCAGTCGTCTAGCCATTGTGGATGTTGGGGAACGAGGGCAAGTTCTATGTGCTGAGCAGGTTCTCTGTGCCAGGGGGCTCTTTCAGTGGTGGCTAGTTCTCATGAACTCCATCCCATCTTGGTTTGGTTGGACCCATACTTGGCCCTTGGCTCCAGGCTTTCAACCCAATACTTTGGCACATCAGGGAATGATAACATGTGGCTCTGAGGAGGCTTATCTTCCTAAAAATCACCATCTCAAAAGTGTGCCAAACCTCTAGTCTCTTTTCATATCTGTCTTACCTCATATGGACCATCTTCATATAGTTATGGCATCTAAGGTGCTTCATAGAGTTAAGGCATCTTGGTAAAAATTGCCAAGATGAACCACTATGCACACACAGCCAGCAAAACCATCTATGTGTTCTTTTAACATTGGTCTGCTGGGGCTAATTTGTGTGTGTGTGTGTGCAGAGCTGGGGAATCAAACCTTGGGCCTTGTGCATGCTAGGCATGCACGGTGCGCTATTATACATACCCCAGCCCCTAATGTTTTTTAAAATGCCAAGATTTGAATGGCTTATTTGGGTTTAACAGGGGTTTACCATAAGACCAATATCATCCAGTTTTCCAGGCTCAATTTGGCCCATTGATTCTACCAATCAGGAAGGACCTCTCATAATCTTTCTATGAGTGCATATGTGAATATCCTTAATATATCTAAATTAAGGCAGATAACATGCATCCTATGTTTTCTACATTTGTGTATCTGAATGTTGCAATGTCATCTTTTGAAGTACAGTTTAATCTTAGAACTGGTGACTTATGGATTATACTTCTTGTTCTCTTCTGGACTATAATGTTGGGGAATAATTCCAATTCTTTTTTCATTGTTTCATTTGCTACTAAGTGTTTGCTGACACTTAACAGCAAATAAACTGTACGTAGCTCTAACCACTTGAAGATATACTAAAGCCTTCCTTCATCTTTGGGTTTCATCTATCAACTTTATAAGTCCTTATGAGTAGCAATATATGAGTAGCAATATACCAGTTTTAAATTCCTGCACTCTTCACTATCTGCTCTGAAATATGCTGGGGAGCTGAATGAGAGAAGGAAAGGATATGGATAATCCAGAATGGATAGACAATGAGAAGTCTGTCATAGATTATCTGAAATTGATTTCCTGGCTTGAAATTTCTCAGTATCTCTCTTCCCCCTTTTGAATACCATATTCAAGGATAAAATGCTCTGAAAGCTCAGATTGGAAATAATTAGTACTTAAAGTAAAATTATTTACAGCTCTGCCTCAGACAGTGAGAATGAAGCCTCCCAAAAGCAGAAACAGAGTTTTGATTCTGGATTCTATTTTATTATTCTAGGTTTACTTGAACTTGAAGGAAGGAAAAAAAATGTCTCCACTTCTGAAAAGCGTCTTCGATATCACCGAAATTTTCAATCAGTATGCCTCCCATGGTTGTGAAGGTGCAGCACTAAGCAAGAAAGACCTAAAGAATCTCCTTGAAAGAGAATTTGGAGATGTCCTTCGGGTAAGAACTAACAAGAAAAGGAAACCGCTCCATTAATTTAGGACTATGAATTTTCTTCAGGAGAGACAGAGCAAGGAATGATACCTTATATGCATTTTACACCAGGCCAAGTCTATACTACATCCCTCATTCTTTTCAAAGTCTGAAGGTATTTAGTTGACATTGAGCCTGAGTATTTAAAAAGCTGGTAACAAGTTCATCTACTTGATGGCACTGTCAGCAAGAATGAGCTGTTCATGGGACACTGCCACCAAAGATGGCAAACCAAACTAGATTTGGAAGGATTTAAATGTGCCTCCAAGCTTCAAGAGCTAAAATCAGCCTATTTTCTACTAACATGGTATTGCCATAAATATTTTAAGTTTTTTGTTTGTCTTGATACTGGAGATTGAACCCAGGGCCTTGTGCAAGCTAGGCAAATGCTTCACATCTAGCTGCATCCCCAGCTCTTTTCAGCTTTATTTTGAGACAGACTTTTGCCAAGTTGCCCAGACTGGCCCTGAACTTGTGATCCTCTTGCCGCAGCCTACCAAGTACTTGGGATTACAGGACTGTGCCCACAGCGCCAAGTTTGCTTTCAAACATGGAACAGAAACCAGATAAGAAGGGCTGGGAACATGGCTCAGTTGGTAGAGGGTGTCCCTTGCATTCACAAGGCCCAGCACCACAAAAAAAAAAAAGAAAAAGAAATCAGATGAGAAGTACTGGCTGCTTCAGACAGAAATGGCTGCTAGAAATCTTCATAAATTTCCATGCTCCCTCTCTCTTGAGGATAAGTACATTCTTATTCAAACAGCTAAGGAGAAGTTGGGTTATAAGATACGACAATTGCCAACAAATGTACGCTTTGAAATGATGTGTTCACCTTTTACGTGGGGAAATGACTTGACACACACTGCACATTCTTTCTAATTGCTCTGAATATCTCTTGATGGTTAGCATAGTATAAGTGTAAATAAGATTTTTACTGCCTGTAAACAATACATGCTAAAAGATTCGTTTGTTTGATTTTTCCGTAGAGACCACATGACCCTGAGACGGTAGATGTGATCCTGGAACTTCTGGATCGCGACTGTAACGGGCACGTCGATTTCAATGAATTCCTCCTGCTGGTTTTCAAGGTGGCTCAGGCTTGTTATTATGCTCTTGGCCAGGCCGCAGGGCTAGAGGAGGAGGAGAGGAGAGTCCAGGGTGAAAGGAAGGGGAACCTGATACAAGATCGTAGGCAAGAAGACCAAAGGAGATTCGAGTCCCCGGACAGACAGCTGGACGAGGAACCTGCACACCAACGCCGGCAGAGGAGGCAGGTACAGGAGCGGGAGCGCGGGGAGCAAGAGGAGCAAAGGAAGAAGCCAGAGAGGCGAGAGCAGCGCGACTGGCAAAGGCAAGAAATCGAAGAGCGCCGCGCAGAGGAAGAGCAGCTGCGGAGACGCAAGAGTCGAGACGCCGAGGAGTATCGAGAAGAAGAACCAAGTCGAGAGAGGCGGGCGCAGCGCGAACGTCCGGAAGAGCAACTGCAAAGGAGAGAGCCAGAAGTGCGACGCGAGCGCGCGCAAGAGAGACAGCTGCAGCAGAGGCGCGAGCAGGAGCTGGTGTCTGAGGAGGAGGCGGAGGCACAGGCCCGGGAGAGGTTGCAGTGGCAGCTGGACAGCGAGGCTGAAGCACGTCAGAGCAAAGTCTACTCCAGGCCTCGCCGACAGGAGGAGCAGAAACGCCGCAGGGAGCAGGAGGAGGAGAGGCGGCCCCGGGAGCGAGAGCTGCAGCGGAGCGAGCTGGAGGAGGAGGAGCAACGCCGCGACCAAGACTTGAGGCTGCAACTAGAGGAAGAAAGTCAGAGGCGCCAGCCCACGCTGACCGCCAAACACGGCCCGCGGGAGCAGCTCAGGGAGGAGGAGCAGCGGGAGGAAGAGCAGCTGCAGAGGGAAAGCAGGCGCCAGCAGCGGGCGAGGCAATATCGGGAGGAAGAGCAGCTGCAGCAGGAAGAGGGGCAGCTGCAGAGGGAGAGGCAATATCAGGAGGAAGAGGAGGAGGACGAGCAGCAGCGGTTCCGGGGGGCAGATCAGCGCCGCGATCTGAAATGGCAATGGCAACCAGAAAGAGAAAGGGAAGTGCGTAATAACAGGGTTTTCTCCAAACGCAGAGAGAACGAAGAGAAGACCCGACGGCTGGACGATTCTCAGGCGTTGGACAGGCCTTTCCTGCAAGAGGAAGAGGAGGAGAAGAGAGAGCTAGAACGAGAGAGAAGGCGCCGGCTGCAGCGCGACCGGGAATTCCCTGCCGAAGAGCCGCTGGAGCGAGAGGAGCGAAGAGCGGCGAAAAGGCAAGATGCGAAGTCCCAAGAGGAGGAGCAGCTACTGAGGGAAGAGAGAGAGACGACCAGGCAAGAGAGAGACCGCAAGTTCCGTGCGGAGGAGGAGCAGCTGCGCCGCCAGGAGCGCGACAGAAAATTCCGCCAAGGAGAGCTCCGCCAGGAAAGGGAGGAGGAGCAGCTGCGCCGGGAGCGTTCTAGAAAGCTCCGCCGGGAAGAAGAGCTCCGCCAGGAGCGGGAAGAGGAGCAGCTGAGGCAGGAGCGGGAGGAGGAGCAGCTGCGCCGCCAGGAGCGCGACAGAAAATTCCGCCAAGGAGAGCTCCGCCAGGAACGGGAAGAGGAGCAGCTGAGACAGGAGGAGGAGCAGCTGCGCCGGGAGCGCGCTAGAAAGCTCCGTCGGGAAGAAGAGCTCCGCCAGGAACGGGAGGAGGAGCAGCTGAGACAGGAGGAGGAGCAGCTGAGACAGGAGGAGGAGCAGTTGCGCCGCCAGGAGCGCGACCGAAAGCTCCGCCAGGAAAGGGAGGAGGAGCAGCTGCGCCGTGAGGAACAGCAGCTGCGCGGCCAGGAACGCGAGCAGCAGCTGCGCCGGGACCGCGACAGAAAATTCCGCGAAGAAGAAGAGCTCCGCCAGGAAAGAGAAGAGGAGCAGCTGCGCCGCCAGGAGCGCGACCGAAGATTCCGCCGGGAACCTGAGCGCCGCCTGGAGCAGGAGGAGGAGCAGCTGCGCCAGGAGCGCGACCGTAGGTTCCGCCAGGAGCGGGAGGAGGAGCAGCTGCGTCAGGAGCAGGAGGAGGAGCAGCTGCGCAGGGAGCGAGCTGGAAAGCTCCGTCGGGAAGAAGAGCTCCTCCAGGAACGGGAAGAGGAGCAGCTGCGCCAGGAGCGCGACCGTAGGTTCCGCCAGGAGCGGGAGGAGGAGCAGCTGCGTCGGGAGCAGGAGGAGGAGCAGCTGCGCAGGGAGCGAGCTGGAAAGCTCCGTCGGGAAGAAGAGCTCCGCCAGGAACTGGAGGAGGAGCAGCTGAGACAGGAGGAGGAGCAGCAGCAGCTGCGCAGGGAGCGAGCTAGAAAGCTCCGCCGGGAAGAAGAGCTCCGCCAGGAACGGGAGGAGGAGCAGCTGCGCCGGGAGCGTTCTAGAAAGCTCCGTCGGGAAGAGGAGCTCCGCCAGGAACGGGAAGAGGAGCAGCTGAGACAGGAGGAGCAGCAGCTGCGCCGGGAGCGTGCTAGAAAGCTCCGTCGGGAAGAAGAGCTCCGCCAGGAACGGGAGGAGGAGCAGCTGAGACAGGAGGAGGAGCAGCAGCTGCGCCGGGAGCGTGCTAGAAAGCTCCGTCGGGAAGAAGAGCTCCGCCAGGAACGGGAGGAGGAGCAGCTGAGACAGGAGGAGGAGCAGCTGCGCCGGGAGCGTGCTAGAAAGCTCCGTCGGGAAGAAGAGCTCCGCCAGGAACGGGAGGAGGAGCAGCTGAGACAGGAGGAGGAGCAGCAGCTGCGCCGGGAGCGTGCTAGAAAGCTCCGTCGGGAAGAAGAGCTCCGCCAGGAACGGGAGGAGGAGCAGCTGAGACAGGAGGAGGAGCAGCTGCGCCGGGAGCGTGCTAGAAAGCTCCGTCGGGAAGAAGAGCTCCGCCAGGAACGGGAGGAGGAGCAGCTGAGACAGGAGGAGGAGCAGCAGCTGCGCCGGGAGCGTGCTAGAAAGCTCCGTCGGGAAGAAGAGCTCCGCCAGGAACGGGAGGAGGAGCAGCTGAGACAGGAGGAGGAGCAGCAGCTGCGCCGGGAGCGTGCTAGAAAGCTCCGTCGGGAAGAAGAGCTCCGCCAGGAGCGCGACAGAAAATTCCGGGAGGAAGAAGAGCTCCGCCAGAAACAGGAGGAGGAGCAGCCGCGCCAGGAGCGCGACCGTAGGTTCCGCCGGGAACAAGAGCTCCGCGAGGAAAGGGAGGAGGAGCAGCTGCGCCGCGAGGTACAGCAGCTGCGCCAGGAGCGCGACAGAAAATTCCGCGAAGAAGAAGAGCTTCGCCAGGAAAGAGAGGAGGAGCAGCTGCGCCGCCAGGAGCGCGACCGGAAATTCCGCCGGGAACGGGAGGAGGAGCAGCTGCGCCAGGAGCGCGACCGTAGGTTCCGCCAGGAACGGGAGGAAGAGCAGCTGCGCCAGGAGCGGGAGGAGGAGCAGCTGCGCCGCCAGGAGCGCGACCGTCAGTATCGGGCGGAGGAACAGTTTGCCAGGGAGAAGCGTCGTCAGGTGCCGGAATTGGGGCAACAAGAGCAGAGACGTCGCCAGGAGCGGGAGAGGAAACTCCGAGAAGAGCAGCTCCGCCGCCAGCAGGAGGAGGAGCAGAGGCGCCGCCAGGTCCGGGAGGGACGCGCCCAGGAGCCAGCCTCGCGCCCGTCCGTCGGCGCTCCCGTGCGCTCCAGCCCCCTCTACGAGTACATCCAGGAGCAGAGAGCTCAGTACCGCGCCTGAGCGAGGCCGCCGGCATCCCTGCCAAAGCTTCCAGCCAAAGAGAATGAGAAACACTGGGTGCCAAGGAATGGCTCACGTGTTTCCGGTTGTGGGGAAACTCTCTCATGTTCGAATGCGCCTTTTCTTCCAAAATCTCGAGCTATGCTCATTTCATTACTTTGTACTCCTGCCTTTAATTCTGTCTCAGGTAGTTCTTTACTGCAAGATGTCTTTGTTCTTGGGTGCAGGTATGGTGTACATTTTTAAAAACATGTCATTTAAATTGTTCACAGAGTTTTGTTTGAAGAACACATTGATTTGTTGCCTTTTAAAGTAACAATACAACAAGTTGAGACTCAAAATAATTGAGTATAGTTTTAATGGCTGATTACCTCTGAGTGGTTTACATGTTTTTAAGGTTGATATATTTTTGTTCTTGTGCCTAAATTTCATTAGTCTACTGCCAAATAACTTACTGGGTTTTGATCTTGATTTTGGCATGATTAATACACATTCCACAAGTTGCCTGAATTTTTGCTACCCTCAAATAAATCAGGGAGAGGAACTTTTGGCAGAAAAACTCCCTGTGAAATCAGCACCTATAACTAAAAGAAATATCTGTTAAGAATTTAAGTGTAGAATTTGGAATTAGATTGTTTAAAAAATATATATACTTAATGCCACTTAAAACCTCAGGAAGCAAAAGCAATGTGTTGATCAAACTTCATAGCTCTAATTTTGAAACTATATCTGCTGTAGTTTGTAGTGCTCAGTTCTGTTCCCCCAATGATGAATTTGAGAGTATTGCTACTTTTGTTAATGTTAGCTTAGAGGAAACCTACTCAGGATCTTGTAAGTTTGTCTTGCTCTAGGGCCAATAGATGACAGAGAGCATGTTGGGAACGGAAAGAGGGAAGTGTGTGAATAGAGAGGCAAATTTCTAGAGGCCCTTTGAGAAGACTTATCCCCAATCCGTTGAGGCCTGATACTACCTTGGAGACATTCTGTTGAAATAATTGGACTGTATAAAAATTTAATAAATGTTTGGCAAATACTTATTTTTGTCTGTTTTCACTCTGTTGTACTTCACTGTCCAATAACCTAGAAATGCATAAATTCCCAATCACAACAATGTTACTATCATCTGTGTACAAATATGAAAAGGGGAGAGGAAAACCACCTTTGCTCCATTTTTTCCAGTTAGAGTGAACCCTATATTATGGCTAACCCCACTGGGGTTCTCTTTGCAAGTGTGTGCTCTGTGTGTGTGTGTGTTGTTGTTGTTGTTGTTCTTAACCATACAGCTTTCTGTGCCCCTTATTATAGTGACTCACTCTGGTCATGGAAAATACTGGTGTTCCCACTGTTTGTTAATATTTCCTTCTGAGAATGCAGCGGGTTCTTGGTCTCTGATGTCTGACAAGCCAATAGTAAAACATGGCATGAAACTTCAGATCAGCACTATAGATCAAAGATGACCTTTTGATTTAAGTACATAATCCATGAGACAATTGAGCCAGAAGATGCTAAACAGTAATCAGGCCAAAGTATTAAACTGCATCAACCACCTGGAATCTATATTAGTACTCATCACTGGGAAACAACATCATTTGTAATTATGAGGGTCTTGGATAAGAAGATGCCCTAAGTTATAGTCCGTCAACATTTTGGTCAGTGGTATAGACAAGGAAGCTAAGCATATAGCTCCTAAGTACCATTCTGATGGGGGGGGGGGGCACTTTCTGCAAGAAACACAGCCTGTCTCTCTTACTTTGAGGCAAATATAAGATACCCACCAAAGACAAAACCAAGGAATTCCTGACACTGTCTTAGAGTTTTGAGTCTTTCAAATGATTTATGAGTACAAAGCTATTCTTCTAAATTAAGTGTATACTCTTTTCCTCAAAGTCTTCACAGAAACCATGTAAGAGCTTCACTAGCTTTCCCAATATCCTCTTAAGGAGCACTAGTTGGAGTGCTTCCTTATGAATGCCCAGCCCAGGATAATACTGAAATATGCATTAAACAGAGCCCTTCCAACTTCTTATAGCACTTTACAAGATGAGAAAGACATTTTATTACAGTTTTAATAACATAGTTTTTAAAAAAACTGTAACAACCAAACCATGCCCTCTAGCTTCTCTTTTAGCACATTGGCAGGAAAACTTGGAGGACAACCCTGCTCCACCTGAATAATACACGCGTGGGCAGGACCTTCAGACTGCTGGGCCATTACCCTCTTAACTACAAGCCGGGAGCTCTCTTTAACATGTTGGCTACTGCTAGGGTGTTATGTGGAGGGTTTACTATGCTGTGATGACAAGCCATCTCCCTGTGTGGTGAACTGAATTGTGCCCCTGCACCCCCACCCCAGGTTTACATGTGGAAGTCCTAACCCTCAGTAACTCAGAATGTACCCAAATTTGTAGATACAGCATATGAAGAGGTAATTAAATGAGGTTGTTAGGTTCTATCCTGATCCAATATACCTGCTACTCTTACATTAGGAGGAAATTTGAATACAAAGGGATGATGTGAAGACAAAGGGAGAAGATGGCCACCTAAAGCCAAGGAAAAAGGCCAAGAACCAATCCTTTCCTTACATTCCTCAGGAGAAACCAACCTGGCTGACTCCTGGATCTTGAGACTTCAAGTTCCCAGAACTGTGAGAAAATAAGTTTCTCTTGTTAAAGGCACCTCCTTTGTTATGACAGGCCTGGCAAACTAATAGGTCATGTAAGGTGGTGTGGTGGTGTGGTGGTGCTAGGCACACCTAGCTGTACAGGGATGATATTTACCCTTTGCCCTTGTGCAAGCAGGTCCTGGTTGTTTAAAGACACTCTTTTATTTAACTTTCCATAGTTTCTATGGTTCAATGGAAAGAATGCTAAAAGAAAAGTTCAAAACTTGGTATTTAGTCATTCATTTATTCCTTCAAGAAATATTTACTGTGCTCCTGCTATTGCCAGACATTACTCCAGGAAGCATCTAGGTAGTGTGAAGGTGGGGTGCTGGCCTTTCCCTGCACTGCCCGTGTGGCCTTCCTGAAGCCCTTTGGCTTTCTAGGTCTCCGTTGTTGTTTCATTTATGAAGCTGAAATAGTTATCATCAAGGTTATTCCCAGGACTGGAAAAAAAATCAATTCAATATTCAGCTTATTCAACTGAAACTCTCAAAACAACTGGAATAATTTTCATGCCAACTTCTAGCTTTAGCTAATAGAAACCAGAAAAAAAAAAAAGAATTAACTGACAAAATGATCATCAGAGCCAAATTCAGCTTCAAAGCTCTTACCTTTCTAGCCAACCATCCCTGCACTTCTCTCCACCTGTCTCCTAAAATCCTTCCCAGATCTTTTTTTATTGTCCCAGGTTTATTCATTGATGGAGAAGACCCTAAGCCCACTCCACTTTCTTTGACCCCAGTAGTATCAAACATCAATGCCCTTCTGATTTATGAGCTTCACATATGAATTTGATTCTTCTCATGCTTTTCTAAGGAGAAAAGTAAGTCCTAGAATTTAATCCCGCTCATGCTAAAATTCAGTGATCATTAGTGTTAAATATGATTCTCTGCTCCATCTTCTGTACTAATTACATATTGCTAACATTTGCATTCAGTCATGATAATTATGAGTTTTTTTCAGCAAGTGTACTGGGGCTGTAATCTGAAGATTATAATCTGTGCAATATGTAATAAGCATATTTCCCTTGTTAAAGAGATGACAGTCACATGCAATAATCAGAAACTAAACCAAAAGATAGATTTATGAGTAGGCTACCATTTTCTGAACACTCAGAACAGCTATGGCAATCTCTCAACAGAAACTTCTAGAAATTGATTTGTCACTTCTCCTCTTTCAAAAAAGGGCATGACATTTTCTACAAGATGAAGTCCAACATCTTCAGTTTGGAATTTAAGAGCCTCTACAATCTAGTGTCAATTTACCTTCTAAACCTTGGATCCCAGGATACCTCTGGAGCCAACCATGTGCTCAAAGCAGACTGGTTGATTTATTGTCATTAGGACGTCTTATGAATGTCCTATTTCAAAGACTGATTGGTATAATTTTATCTATTTGGAATGCCTTCTCTCTTTCCGTCAACTGAGGCATTTCTGCTCAGTTTATAAGGCCCAGGTTGAATACCACATCCTCCCTAAAATCTTTCCTAATCACCCTGATGTACAATGATATCTCTCATTGAGATCCTAGGACATCTATTATCTTTACCAATCATTAATTGATTACAATTTTCTGCCTTAGTTGACTTTATACTGGCTTCAGTCTTTGCAATTACACCACAAACTCTTTGAAAACAGAAACTACAACTTGGACGTTTTATATTTTCTTTCCATGATGAACAATAAGAAACATAGCTCTATGAATAAAAAAATTTAAAAATTTACCTAGGATTTCTAAAGTTCTTAGTTACAATGAAGCCCTCCTAACTTTACGCTACTGGCTCAAGGAGTTTTGAAAATTACATGCATACTGTAAGTATTCAATAGATGTGTGTGAAATGAATGAATTAATGTAGGCTGTATGTTTGTTTTCTGTTCAGAGCCTCTACTGCCAATCTATGAAACATGGTATTCTGCTCTGCTGAATGTTAAAACCCTAAATCCTTTTTTATATTTCAGCCTCAAACATTATAGAATATTTGTGATTTCTTCTCCTTCCACCTATTTGGGTTTTTCCTGAATATTGCAGTGAACTTTGGTCTTAGCACCTGTCAGCACCCCTTGGTGAACTAAGAAGCTGGGATAGGAGCTGGGCATTGTTGTGCATGCCTATAATCCCAGTGATTTGAGAGGCTGAGGGAGAAGAATTGCAAGTTTGAGGTCAACCTCAGCAACTTAGCAAGACTTTGTCTCAGATTTTAAAAGGGGAATGGGAGATGGGGGTTGTAGCTTGGTGCTAAAATACCCTGGGTTCAACCCCTAGTACAAAAAAAAAAAAATTCCAGGGGTGGGTCAAGAGAAAGATGAATTCTGGTCCACGTATTATTGTGAGGGGGTAAATGCAGTGAGAAGCAGAAGTGAGATTTCAATACCAGACAGGCTGGTTTTCTCATATGCATTTGAATTTAAATACAGCACACTTATTAAAGGCCTACATTATGCATCTAATTCTCACAACTCCTTCAGCCAGGTTTCTTAGCATGAAGTTAAGAAGGCTTCAATGTATCCATGAGGAGAATCTGGTATATATGAGTCAATTTTATTCCTCTATTAGCATTATTTTGACCCTATTTCTTTTTTTGGTGGTGGTGCTGGGGATTGAACCCAGGGCCTTATGCATGCAAGGCAAGCACTCTACCAACTGCGCTATATCCCCAGCCCTTGACCCTATTTCTTATGAAGTAATGACCCTGCTGATATGCCAAGAGTTTCTGGGCCTCTCTTTCCCCTGGAGAACCATATTAATGTCCTCACATTAGCTTTAATATGTGAACCACAGCCAAGTCAATCCCCAGGTCTCAAACCTGACCATGTGGGGAGGCGGGTGAGTAAAAGTGGGAGAAGGAGACAAGTTTCACACTTTGAAGAAGCATTGAGTTTATAAGAAAAGAAACATCTTGGGGGCTGGGGTTGTGGCTTAGAGGTAGAGCGCTCACCTAGCATTCGTGGGGTGCTGGGTTCGATCCTCAGCACCACAGAAATATAAAATAAAGATATTGTGTCCACCTATAACTAAAAAATAAATATTAAAAGAAAAGAAACATCTCTGTTTAGCAGGGTCATCAAAGATTTCTCCTGTGGAAACTGATATTTAAACTATAATCAAAGAATAACTAAGAAGTTCACTTGGTGAAGAGGGGGGAAAAAGATCTTTCTAGGCAAAATGAAATCATCATTAAAGGCAGGAGGCAAGAGAAAATATAGTGGATTCAAGAAAATTAAAATTAGATTTGACTAGAGCCTAAAATAAATGGCAAGAGATGAGAATAGAAGGTTTGGAAAAGTATTGCATGCCCTATTAAGCTTATCTTGAGGGTGATAAAGAATCACTGTGGGGCTGGGCTGTAGCTCAGTGGCAGAGTGCTTGTCTAG